TTTATTATTAAAAATCTCGAGGAGGTCCTGGACCTCTCACTTGCCTCTCGCACGATACAGATAACATAGTATCCTGGAGGATCCTTGAAGAATACTCCAAGGCCGGAAGAAACCTGAATGGTGGACTTCGAAACTGGGGGAACTCCGGAAAGCCTGCCGGAGACTCTTTAACAGAGCCAAAGCTCTAAATGTTGAGCAGAACTGGTCCGAGTACAAGGTCAGTCTGTCAACCTATAATAAGGAACTTAGGAAAGCCAAACGCGCCTCATGGCGTAAGTTCTGCAGTGAAATCGAAAGTAACTCCGAAGCTTCATGCTTGCGCAAAGTACTCTCGAAGTCGACCCCAACCTTAAGTTACCTGAAGAAAGCCGTTCAGTCATTGACGACGTCCAGCAATGAATCGCTTAACCTTCTCCTTCCCAGGCTGAATTGTAAAAAGACCAAACTACAGCGCACCTCCTTATGTTGCCTCAAGATCCATTCTAAACCTACTAAGTCACGAGAACATATCCTGGGCAATTAAAAGCTTTAAGCCGCGGGAACAGATGGCGATATCCCAGCCCAACTGATTCACGCCGGACAAAGGGCCATAAATTGGCTCAAACAGATTTACGAGGGAGTCTTCTCTCACGGACAAATCCCAGACACATGGCTTCAGACCAAAGTCGTTTTTATATCCAAGGTAGGTAAGCCCTCACACACTGCCCCCAAAGATTTCAGATCAACAAGTCTTTCGTCCTTTCTTTTAAAGACGATGGTACGGCTTTAAAATCTGCATCTCAGGGCGAGTATTCCACCCAATCTAATCTCTGATTCTCAGCACGCCTATCGGAAAGGAAGATCCACCGAGACGGACCTACACGCGATTACATCGATCATTGAAACGTCCCTTAACTTTAAGGAATACACACTGGTGGCCTTTCTTGACATAGAAGGCGCTTTTAAAAACATAACATAAACATGGTGGCGTACGCTGATGATGTTGCCATAGCATTCTCTGGGAACTTTCCACAGACGCTATGCGAGTGCATGACAAGCACTCTCATAAAACTGTCCCAATGGGCAGACAAATGCGGGCTAGGTGTTAATCCGTCTAAAACGGAACTAGTACTCTTCACCAGGAAGTACAAGATCCTGACCTCCCCAAAACTCTGTGGGGAAGCGCTAGTTTTTAGCAATAATGCCAAGTATCTTGGTCTTATACTCGATAGGAAGCTCGATTGGAAACTGAGCATAGAGGATAGGGTAAAGAAGGCCACTGTGGCCCTCCAGAAAAACCATCGGACTCAAATGGGGAATGACCCCGTATATAGCCCGGTGGCTATATACCGCCATCATACGACCAATACTAATGTACGGATTGGTTGTGTGGTGGCCAGCACTGGACAAGAAAACTTGTCTTAGCAAACTCAGCCGTGTCCAACGCATGGCAGAGCTATGCATAACAGCAATACTACGCACAACCACAAGCGAAGCCCTCGATACCATGTTGTACCTTCTCCCTATAGAACTCATAAGGAAATAGGTGGCAACTCTTTCCGCTCTCAGAATGAGAGAATCCAAACTCTGGAAAGCATCCCCGTTTGGACACTCGGGAATCTTGAGGAGACTCTCGCAACTATCGGAGGGGACAGATTACTGTATACCGAGTGATCACCTCTCGACGCCCTTCCAGGTATCAATCCCACTCAGGGAGGACTGGGAGAGGGGCGAACCTGGATCCGCAAATGCGATCCACTGATGGCTCAAAGTTAGACGGCCGTGTGGGTGGTGGCGTATACTGTAACGAGCTCAACATTAGTCATTGTTTCAGTCTTCCGGATCACTGTTGTGTGTTCCAAGCGGAGGTTGAAGCAATAAACGAGGCACTTGGCTCAACATATGCCGCAGATCTCTTAATGAGACCGCAGAGCATTTAGATCTCTCCCTAATATGGGTCCCCGGACACAGGGATATCCACGGGAATGATGCTGCCGACGCAAGGTAGCCAGGCAAGGTACTACCACACCTCTCCTACCGGAGAGGGGATTTCCCTCTCTCCAACTACCGCCTTAACCTAATCTAACCTAGTTTTCAATCCCTTTATACCTCCTGCCTCAAGTTTTAAGTCTAACTCTTAGGTCTCCTCTTCTGGACCGAGCAATGATTTCTTCAACGCTCCACAATCAAAAGTACCGCTATGTCCAAAACTTTCTTTCATGAAATTATTCGATATCTAAATTGAGCTTACGGGTGGTGGCTTATTTAAATTAATTTGCCTTGTTGTTTTTATTTTTTTAAATGAATTTAACCCAGCGCTACTATTTATAGACCAGCAGATAACATGAGTAGTTGTCTAAAGTCATGCAACACAAGAAATTGGAATGCAAATGTAACGGGGCTTCTTCAAATTTCTAATGCATTCCAGGATTTCCGCAAATGTGTCACTTGTTCAATTTGAAAGACTATAAATATCTCAAAAAGAGTTTTGAAAGTGATGGGGTGCGGCACTAGTATTTCATTGAACACATCTTTATGTGTATGTAATTACATAAATAAATAATAGATAAAAATAAATTTTAAATCTTTGATCTATTTTCCTCAAAAACATAAAAGGTTATCCCACAAAAACTTATTTTTTAACCAATTGTTCCCATATTATAGGCCACAATGCAACTTTTTTTTAACAGATTACAGCATCTAACAGCAAAAAAAAAATGCCATTTTTTTTTTGGCACTTTCTCTTATAAAATATAAACAAATACATTTTTAATGAACTATTTGTAGTTTTTATAACGAATATTTAAAGAATATTGTGGTAGATAAAATTTGTGTAGATGAATAAAGCAGCCAGTAGGAATCGTTACCTACCCCATGAATAAATAAGTCTCTGTCTGTCTGTCCGTCTTTTTTGTCGCCTATTTTTCAGAGACTTTAAAATTTTCCGCGCTCACAAAAAAAGAAAATCTGTGGCATCCACAATTTTAAATATACGATAAAATTAAAAACGCAGTATAGTAGAGAATGACCATATCTACCAGATTGCCGAATTTTAATAGGATCGGATCATTTTTTTAGCCAGAATAAAGAAATTAATTTTCTGTTGCTTGCCCCGCCCCCTCCTTTCTCACTCGAACACTCTGCCGCGTTCACTGCGCGCGCAGCCCCTAGCGGAGAGATGTAGAATCTAAATGGTACATGTATAATCTACATGTTATATGTAGAATATACATAGTATATGTAGATGTAGAGATAAGAAATGTAGCAATAAAATGTAAAATGAAAAATGTTGTTCTTAATTTTAAAATTCTAAAAACTTATAACCTCAAAAATGTATATACTGACTGAGTACGGGTATAAGTAAAGTCGCGTCCCCAGAAGCGACTCACACGTTCCTTCTCGTTTTTTATGATTTATTTTTTTTTAGAATTTTTAAAATTTGGTAACAGCTTAACGCCTGGCAGATATTAAGCTTTCAAATTCAAATGTCATCATTTTTTTCTGTATTTTTCCGAATTTTTTAATTTAAAAATTCAGGAAAAGTCGAAACCAAAATATTTCTTGGCAAACATTTTTAGTTTTAGATAGAGGCACTAATTAGGCGTCGGTTAAGGTATCGCTTGTAAGAATCGATGTATAAACGGCCAAGTTGCAGACGTTTGATTAAACGACTTAAAACTCATTTTACCTGCAAAATACCGTACGTTGCTGGTCCAATGCCAAAGGAAGACGTTCAGGTACCAAAAATTTGTTTGCTTTGTTCCCAATTGGCAGTTCGGCCCGCAACCTTCCAAAAAGTATTTCTTGTCTATTTTTTTCATGTTTTAGGTTAACGAATTTTAGCTCCAAAGTTTCTCCATAGATTTTAGTGAACAATACCTACGACGCCTAATTAATACGTCTATCTAAAACAAAAAATGCATGCCAACAGTTTTTTTTTACTTTTCCTGAGTTTTTAAAGTCAAAATTTCGGGAAAAAATACCGCAATAAAATGATCTTCCAGCCTTTAAGCTGCAGCTACATACAAAGTGTCTGGGTCGGACTTATAGCTGCATTTGTCTACCAGATTTACCAGATTTTTAAAAATTCTTAAAAAAAAAAACTAAACCATAAAAAAAAGCATAATTCGTTAAAAAAATTAAGTACTGAAATCTATCAGAAAAAGTAATTTTGGGCCACAGCGTAAATGTCGTGTTGACTAGTGTTATTAATCCGATATGGTCATAGTCGATGGTTTTACATTGTTGGTTTTCACTTACATATCTTCAAAATTATGGATGCCACATATTTTTGTACCACCACAAATTAGAAAAGGGCTGGTCAAAATTTTGAAATGCACTTGTAACAGTGTGATATCACACATTTTGAATGCTCTAGCTCTTATAGTCTCTGAGACCTAGGCGCTCGTCAAGGCTGACACGAATATTGTGAAGATAAAAAAATATATGTGCATACATGCATGCACTTTATAGAGTCCCTTCTATAGTTACACATGTATACACAAAACTAATTTATTAATATATTCGCTGATTACACTACTCGACAAAATTCAACTTTTTTTCTGCTTCGAACTCCCGACTTTTTCTGATAGATTTGGGGGCTTAACATTTTTTTAAAGAATTATGGTTGTTTTTCTTTGGCAGAACTTTTTTGAAGCATTTTTGAAAACTGGTATTTTTTGCTTATACTGTTTTCAGAGGTAGCGGTTATTGTTTTCACATAACTTAAGGATCTTACATCTGGTTGTAAAGAACTTTACCATTCTGAAAAGCTAATTGATGCAGGTAGAAATTAAACCCAACACTTTATGATTTTAGCTTACCGTCTGGGTATTATTAAGCGTTCGAATGAAAAAATTATATTTGCGCGGTATTTGTTACGAAATTTTGACTTTGAAAACTCAGGAAAAACTCTAAAATAAGCCCAAATCTTTCAGAAAAAATTGGTTTGGTTCCTTGAGGAATAATTGTGTCGGGTAGTGTTATTTAAGTCTGTATACTCGTAAATAGTTATTATTTACCTGAATTACAGTTTTCCGAGGAATCTGATTATTGTTCTTGAACTGCATTGAAGATGGTTGCATTTGCTGTGGCAGGGTTAGCGTTAAGGGCTGTTTTTGAATCAATTTATTGTGATTACATATTGAATTTTTGTTATTAACTTTGATAGAGTCCTTGACTTTAGAAGGGTTTTGAGATTTGGCTGTTCCCGTTCCTAAATCTTCTTGTGTATCCAGAGGTTGATTGTAGTTCGGTTGATTACGCTCTTCTATTCGATTGCATTGTAGTTGGATGTTTCGATTCTTATCAGACGATGATGCGAAAGTGGACTCTAAAAACTGTGACTTAAAGCACGCTGTGGGTAGGTTTGCACATTTATTTTTGTTGTCGATTTTTTTCTTGTTATGCGATGTTGATAGTTTTTTCCACGAAAGGGCATTAATAAAAATTGAATGTTTCTTTAGGTTTTTATCAATAGAGCTTTTTTCTGATTTAATGGCTCCGTTTTCGTTTTGAGTATCTAGAACATTTGTTATAGTATCTTTAGACGAGTTTGCCAAATTGTGTAAGTGGTGTGAGCCCAACTGGGATTGAGCCTGCAAATTAATATGTACTCCAGTATAGGTTCCTTGTTGTCCTATAATGTTCTTTGACAGTTGATGGCAGACCGATTTTTTGTTTTCTCGGTTTTTAGCATTATTTAATTGCTCATACGAATAATTGTTTAGATGTGAATCAATTGATCCAGTATTAACATTTTCGTTTTTTATATCAGTTGAATGGTTATATTGAAAATTCGGCTGAGATGAATATATTGGATGGCGATCCCGTGGATTAAAACTCAACACAGTTCCCATTTTGACTGAAAAACATATTTAAAAATCAATACTAGCAGCTAACACATCTGTGTTTTTGTAAGCGTAATTATTAAACCTCTGTTTAAATATTCCAACAAACAACTTCAATCTTTTTATACATTTTTACCATGTAAACTTAAACTACAAAGCGTTACCTTCTTGATTGTTTAACCATATACTCGAATACACATATATATTGTTATATATATCTATAAAAATATATTATATAATTATATTTCATACAAAGCTGTCACTTGAGCTTAAAGTTATTTTAACAGCGTTTTTGACTGTTTTTTTTCCTTTTTTTAGGGTTCCATTGCATTTACTTTAACAGAAACAATTTTTAGTATAAATATAAATTCAAAACTTGCAATTTTTTAATGGTTAACGAAAGATTTTTTTGTAACACAATCTTCTGAAACATACAGTGCACAGTTTAAAAATCGATATTTTTTATGCGCAGGCTCGTGCCGGACAATACATGTGGGGTTAGTTATTGCTGTACTTTGTGTTTCAGGGCATGCTCAGTACGAGTGTACATATAATATGGATATTCAAACACATAAGTGTACACTATAAAAATACTTTCAAATATTTATGTTACTAGTAAAAGTAACCTGAATCTCGGAGACAATACGATTTTGAGCAACCAAATACATACATATATTAGAATGTATATCTGTGATTTCCGCGAGGATTAAGCTTCTATAACATTTTAGAGGATATTATGACCATAGTTATATATTCTAATTCTAAATATGTTTTCTATTAGCATCAACAGATGAGTTCATCATCTCTCAGCTCCAATCTGGTTTTATCTTTTCCCTTATAATCTCAGAATACTAACACGTGTATAAGACGGGATCGACAAATTAGTATAACTGTATAACGTGTATATAATAAATCTCCTATATAAACAAAATAAGGACTATTCCGTATAGTTATTGTTAATGTACAGTTTGAAGTGAAGAAGCTATTTCTAAGAATACTCTAATTCAGAATTTTCTCTTTTGTGGAAAGCTTTTGTTGACCAGGATAGGTTTTATTTTGTCAAATATGATGTATTCTCAACTTAAGAAGATTTATTGTTTAGTAAGATGTGCCAAAAAAGTCTCTTCCAACTAACTTCCTAATCTTGGTGATATGAAAGACTCTCTAGGTTGTATTCCGAATATCTAGTGCTATAATACGAGCGCTAAAAAGTTATGGTTGAGGGAAAAGGTTATCTCTCTATTATATAAAATAATAATGGTTTTTCTTCTACCGCCCGATAGTGTGAGCTGCTATTTTAAAATAATGGTTTACACGGAAATTGAAATGATATGATTATGAAGAAACGATATATGATATATATAGTGAGTGAACCGGGGATTCGCCCGCGAGCGTAACGAGTGCGCAGTGGGCTTGCCATATATAATATACATAAAATCCTTAAATAAAATGCTTTCAATTAATTTTTGTGAGCCTCTCGGGCCAAAAGACACTGCTAGATATGTGGGAGGAGAACATAGACGGTTTTACTACCGTAAGCTCTACAAAGAAATATCTGAAATTAATATATAATTACTTGGGGCCAATCATCTTGCGCACTCGCTTCGCTCGAGCACTAAGAAAAAAATACAATTGATGCCATTGATACCGTCCATGTAATGTAGCTGTAGCTGTAGTAGCTATATATAGTACAGCAGTGACTTTCCGACCGATATTTTATTTTCTGTGCCTCTTCTTCTTTTTCTAAAAAACATATACACCCACACACCAGTCTTCTTTCTTGCACTACCACCCCATTTTATTTGTGGCAAAAGTGGAAGTGTGCAACGCAGAGAAGGAAACGTTTCCAACCCCATTAAATATATATATGTATAAAGTATCTTGATCAGAATCAATAGCCGAGTCGATTTAGCCATGTCCGTCTGTCCGTCTTGATGAGCGCCTAGATCTCAGAGACTATAAGAGCTAGAGCAACCAAATTTTGTTTCCAGACTCATGTGATATCACACTGCTACAAGTCTATTTCAGAATTTCGCCCCGCCCTCTTTCGCCACAACAAAGGAAGAAAATCTGTGGAAGGCACAATTTTAAAGGTACGATAAAACTAAAGACGCAGTATCGTAGGGAATGACCATATATACCTAATTGCCGAATCTAAATCAGATCAGTTTATTATTATAGCTAGAATGAAAAAATTTTCAGTTGCTTACACCGCCTCCTACAGCGAGACCCGCTACTCACTCTCTTTCTCGCTCGCACACTCTGCCCCTTTATGTTCTCGGGCGCCCGCTGGCGGTGAAGATGTAGAATCTAAATGGTACATGTAGAATATACATGTTAGATGTAGAATATACATTGTAGATGTAAATGTAGATAACAGATGTAGCAAAATTAAAAATGTAAAATTTATTACAATTCTACATAAATCATAAGCTAAAAAATGTATATACTGACTGAGTACAGGTATAAGTAGAGTCACGTCCCCTGAAGTGACTTACACGTTCTTTCTCGTTATTCTTCCTCTAACGCACACCATACCAGTCACCACTCATTAACCCACTTATTATTTTAGATAATAAAGAGATGAGCATCAATTCTCTTTCTTCCATTTTCCTGTCGTCTTGAATAATTATGTTGATTGCACAAAATTTGGTTACTTTCCTTGTCATCAAGCACATAAATCAGCTATTCTCATGACGCAACAGACTGCTTCTGTTTAACGGAGAAGGCAATACTTATTGACATGCGGAAGAAAAAGGAAGGAGAAACAAGATCTGGCATTATGGCAGGCTTAAAAAAGCGGGAAAAAACGACAGCGACGCATCATTTGGTTCCAAAACCTACGATCAAGAAAATGAACATATGACGCCCAGCGGTACCAATAACACCAAGCGTCACAGACTCAAATATTTAAACACACGCGCCAACAATGTGACCAGCGATCACTAACGAACGGCCACACATTTAAATTCACGCGCCAACAGTGTGCCCAGCCATCAGAACCCAACGGCCACACTAGCAGCTGATCATGGCAACGTGCTAGTGTCAAAGAAGGGAGCCAACAGCTGAATTTTGGTAATAATAGAAGACGCGCCAGAGCCATCAGCACCATTGCTGTCTTGGACTGCCAAGGGTGCGCATTTTCCTCCGCAACGCATCTTCTCCTCGGAGCACGTTTTCCTTCGCAACGCATCTTCTCCACGGAGCGCATTTTCCTCCGAGACCATATCCCGAGCCGACCCTGAGGACCTTGAAGGAGGTACCTCGAATACCAGTTTGTGACTACCGCTATAGACACACCAAACTCTGTAATTTTAAGAGCAATAAAGATAAACACCTACTTTTTCCACCCTACTCGTGCCGCCTTTTTCTTTAACCTTTTCTTTCAGCTACCACATCCAGAGATCAAAACAAACAAGCGATAGCACTACTCGACAAAACTGAATTTTTCTTCCGTTTCGGACCAAACCGACTTTTTCTTATGGATTGAGAGCTTTAATTTTTCTTAAAGAATTATGGTTCACGTCGGGGTCACCAAATGTTAATGTGTGCTTGTGATTTGGTATACATACGTTACATAAACCGTTTACAATTTTTTCGTCGCAACTAGAAAAGCAAAACTTTTTTTTAAGAATTTTTGAAAATTGGTTTTTTTAAATCTTTTTTCAGAGGTAGCGATTTATTCTTTCACATAACTTATCTTACATTTGCGATTTGAAAAAGCTAAGAAATGGTATTGTAAAATTATTTATAATTTTTAAAGTTTCTGGACTTTTAAAAACAAATTTTTTCGTAGGGTTTTTTATACCCGTACTCAAAAAAGAGTTAAGGGGTATATTAGATTTTTGGTAAAAGTGGATGTATGTAACGCAGAGAAGGAAACGTTTCCGACCCCATAAAGTATATATATTCTTGATCAGCATCAATAGCCGAGTCGTTAGAGCCATGTCTGTCTGTCCGTCTGTCCGTCCGTCCGTCTTGTTGAGCGCCTGGATCTCAGAGACTATAAGAGTTAGGGTAACCATATTTGGTTTCCAGACTCATGTGATATCACACTGCTACAAGTGTATTTCAAAATTTCGCCCCCTTCCGCCCACACAAAGGACGAAAATCTGTGGCAGGCACAATTTTACAGATACTCTAAAACTAAAAACGCAGTATCGTAGAGAATGCCCATATCTACCAGATTGCAATCTGAATCAGATCGGATTATAATTATAGCCAGAATGAAGAAATTAATTTTCTGTTGCTTTCCCCGCCCCATCCGGCAAGAAAACTAATCACTGATTCTCTTTCTCGCTCGCACACTCTGCCGCGATCAGTGGGCGAGCAACCCCTAGCGGAGGAGATGTAGAATCTAAATGGTACATGTATAATCTACATGTTAGATGTATAATATACATAGTATATGTAGATGTAGATAACAGATGTAGCAAAAAAATGTAAAATGTAAAATTTTATTTTTCTATTCTAAAATTCAAAAAAATGATAAGCTCAAAAATGTATATACTGACTGAGTACGGGTATAAGTAGAGTCGCGTCCCCAGAAGCGACTCACACGTTTCTTCTCGTTTTGTTTTTAGACATGACAAATTTTAGCAGTATCTATTCTTAACAAAATAAGCTACTAATAAATAAAATTGTTCAAAGAATGCCAACAATATGTTTTTATTAAATGTACGTAATTCCCATTTTGCTACATGTAAAACTAAAAAATGTCTAAACAAACTTTGCTTGGTGGGCCAGCAACGGTAAAATGTAATTTTCGGAGATTTGGTCAACCAATATTACATCCGCCGTCTCTCCATAGGTTTGAATGAACAATACCTTAAATGATGCCGAATTAATAAGCCTTTGCACAAAAAGTATAAGGACACAGGATATATTTTCGATTTTCCTGAGTGTTTAAAGTGTTCACAATGGCAAAGTTCATTACAACCAAATGCAATATGTTTAAGTTATGGGAAAAAATGAAGCGATATCTCTGAAAAAAATTTAAAAAAAACGAGAAGGAACGTGCGAGTCGCTTTTGGGGACGCGACTCTACTTATACCCGTACTCAGTCAGTATATACATTTTTGAGCATATGATTTTTTAGAATTTTACATTTGTTTGCTACATCTGATATCTACATCTACATCTACAATGTATATTATACATCTAACATGTTGATTGTACATGTTCCATTTAGATTCTACATCTCCTCCGCTAGAGGTTGCTCGCGCACTGAACGCGGCAGAGTGTGCGAGCGAGCAAGAGATAGGTAGCGGGTCTCTGTCAGGAGGGGGCGGAAGAACCAACAAAAAATTCCTTCAGTCTGGCTATAATTATGATCCGATCGAATTCAGATTCGGCAATCTGGTATAAATGGGCATTCTCTACGATACTGCGTTTTTAGTTTTATCGTATCTTTAAAATGTGCCTGCCACAGATTTT